GATGTGAGCACCAGGGGGATTGTTCTCCTTCACAAAGACTGTGTAGGAGGGCTGTGTGAAGGCTGGAGCATTATCATTTATGTCACTGATAGGCACTAAGAGGCTGATGCTAGAAGACAGGGGTGGAACGCCCTGATCTTCCACTGTCACAACCATCCTGTACTCAGCCACCTGCTCTCGATCTAGGACTGCACCAACAGTCAGGGAGTAGTAGTTCTTGAATGTGGACTCGAGTTTGAAGGGTACTCCAGGGGGAAAGAGGAAACAGTTGATTTGTCCATTGGTGCCAGAATCCCTGTCAGAAGCACTGAGGATGGCTACCACAGTCCCTGGAGGGGAGTCCTCTGGCAATGGCACAGAGAGAGAATTCACAGATAGTTCTGGAATATTGTCATTTATGTCCAATAGTTCAATGAGAACTTTACAATGTCCAGATAAAGTACCCTTATCTTCTGCCACAATTTGAAGTTCATAGAAATTAATATCTTCATAATCCAACTTTCCAATTACTCTGATTTCCCCAGTATCAGAATTTATACTAAACATATTTCTGACATGTTGAGGTAGGTTATTACTAAAAAAATAAGAGATTTCCCTATTAATCCCCTCATCTAAATCTGTTGCATTCAGAGCAATAACTAATGACCCACTAGCTGTATTTTCTAGCAGCTTTATCCTATAAACAGATTGGTTAAATACAGGAGGGTTGTCATTAACATCCAGCACATTGATGACTAGCTGAACAGTTCCTGTGAGTTTTGGTTCACCCCCATCAGTGGCTGTCAGTACTAAATGATGGACAGGGTTCTTCTCTCTGTCAAGTGGAACCTTTAACACAAGTACTACAGATTTACTCCCATCTTCATTATTTCCTGAATCAAGAGCAAAATGGTTGTTTGGACTGAGCTTGTAAATTAACAAAGCATTGGTACCAATATCTGCATCAGATGCTCCTTCTAATAGGAACTGGGTGCCAGAGGTTATGAGTTCTGATATGCTCAGGATCTTTTCCCTGGCAGAGAAGACGGGAGCATTGTCATTCATGTCTTTGACTTCCACCTCCACATGGAAGAACCTCAGAGGTTTCTCCACAATCACCTCCAGATGAAGGACACAGTCTGCAGTCTTGGCACACAGCCCCTCCCTGTCTATCCGGGAATTTACAAACAAGATCCCATTCTGCAGGTTTACCTCAAAATAGTCCTTCTCTCCTTTGGACAGCATCCGGAACATCCGAGGCACCAGCTCGCTCACCTCCAACCCCAGATCTTGGGCGATGCGGCCCACAAAGGTGCCGTGCTGGGATTCCTCCAGCACAGAATAATGGAGCTGGCCGCTCCCCATTTTCCAGGCGGTCTGGAGCAGAAGCAGCTGCAGCAGCCCCTTCGGCCAGGTAAGCATCGCAGACACAGGCACAGCCCCGCAAGCTCTTCTCTTTTTTCTCTAAATACCTTGCCTTCAAGGGGTCA